CAGTGTGGAGCTGTGAAAAGCTGCAGTTCCTCCCACGACCACCAGAGGCCGACTCCCAGCAGTGAGCACCGTGTTACAGGTTTATAACTCACCTGTTTAAACTGTAATTGATTAGGGGCGTGGCCTCTTTGACTGACAGGCAGCTGCTAACTGGACCTCTGCACCGTGTTTGCTTGTGCTGTGGCTCCATGCTTTGATCCAACAATCATGTTTAAGCTTCGTCACATGACCCCACTCCATCATCCATCTACAGTCTGAAAACATCAGCGCTGACGGCGTTTCATAGAAGTGATCCATCACGCCAACATGATCTCGATATATGCTGTACGATCTGGGGAATTTTATGGGAACTATTTTCAGTGGTGGATGAATCGACATGTGGTTCTCTGACCGTGTGGGAGCAGGAGAGAGTTTTAATAGAGATGAGGATCCTCCTGCAGACAGTGTGTTGGTGCTGTCGTGTTATTGATGTGAGTCTGTGTGAAGTCTAACAATGAGAGTACAACACCAGTCTGTCTGTGCACTTTATTTATTGTTGTTATTCACAAAGATCATCATAATAATTTAAATGATTATAGTTCACTGTGGAAAGCAGTCTGAATGTCACAAACACAACACAGAAATCACAGCGTCCTCGAACGCACCGCGGTGCGACTAGAATGATAACTGAAGCTCTCGGACGTCGTTTAATTTAACTGCGTCTGACTGATACAGAATGAAAAGATGTTTAAAGCTACAGCAGGACAAATCTGATCGACCGCATCAATAAAGGGTTCCTGTGAAGCTCACCGAGGCTTCTAAGTGCAGAGATGTCCTGAAAGTGACGAGAAAAGGCAAAAGATTAAAATAATTTTAAATTATGAAAAATCATTAGAAGTGTTTCTTAGCTCATCACAGCACAGACGCCTCTGAGCCCGGAACACCAGCTGATCCACAGCGGCGACGTCTTTGTTGCCATGGTGATGTTGGACGCGGGGCAACGAGCGATTTAAAAAAAAGAGTTTTGTTGCAAATGTAACAAGTTTTCTTCTAAACGTAATACTTTCATTGAAAATGTTTTTCATCTTCTCTGGATTTATGACTCTGATCTGCAGTGGCTCCGCCCTTTGTGCGTAGACACTCTTCACACATCGATGAATCTGACAGTGGTTTTTATACATTTAACAAAATATACTGTATATGTTACAAATATGTATCTTTACATTCTTAACAGCTGAAATCGGCCGGAGCAGTCACCTCATAAGGCACCATTTCCAAAAGGTTAATGAGCTGCTGATGTGCTCCGCCCTCCGTCATCACACTTTGCCTCATTCATTTACCTCTTTATCTCAGTGATCCCCCCCCCAAATAAACTCTGACGCCTGGGCAGGAAGGTGCTGATTTCCCACGGTCAGTGAAGTCTGCTCGTCTGAGTGTTGTAGAGCTCCAAGGACTTTTAGTCTGGCTCAAACGCCACTATGTGGCGGTGCTGTCATTATTAATGGATCTGTAGACGCCGACGTTCACACTGAGCTGTTTGACTGTTTTGTGCTGAAACACGTCAGAGTTTCTCTGATTCATGGATATGTTGTTTTGAATCTTTCACTCATTTTGCTCGGAAAATGACTGAAACCGTTGCATCTTTGTCTCCGTTGGAGCGGCAGTGGTTTCCGTGGTGACGAGGTCTGGTGCTTCTCTAGAGCAGAGGTGATCACTTCACTGCAGGGGTCTCCATAATGAAATAAAGAGCTAAAAAGGCAGAGAGTCATGATGGAGGAGGATTTTCTCAGATCTGGCAACCTAAAAGGTGCCTTTTGTAAACGATGCCTCATCAGGATCGGAGCTCGGCTCATTTAGAGGTAAACAGACAGGCGGCAGGTTAGTGTCAATCTACACGATCTGCGTCGCAGTCGGAGCCGCGGCTGCGTTTCTAAGAAGCCGGCCGATGATTGAGGGTCACAAGAAAAAATGAACACACTCGTCTTTTCTTGTTACACTCATTCTGAAGACCAGGCAACACACACACACACACACACGCGCGTGCAGCTCGTGCAGCTCGTGCAGAGGAAACTCAGAGAAGCTGAAGAGTTTGGAAACTCAGGACGAGAACCGCCAGGGTGAGGAGAGCTGAACAGCTGCTTTTGGCAGCAACATCTGGAAAGACATCAAAGTGAGAACACAGAGGTTTTTTTATTTAATGTCCTTAAAAATCACTCTTCAGATGAAGACCCTGATTCATGGGAACCATGCAGCTGCTTTCCTCACCTGTGGGAACGTACTCCAGCTTCTCCTGGACTCTCCGGTCAGAACGAGCTCGTGCTGTGGGACAGACGGGTACATGTGATGATGACAGCTCCAGTAAAAGCAAAGGTTAAACTGCTTCAGCTGACTCTGTTGGACACTCGGGGCTCAACGTTCTCTATCTCTGGTTCTTCAGCAGAAGAAGTCAGAGTGTTTTTGTCCATACGACGTGCACGCATGACTCTCAGGAGTACAACCTGCAGTACTAACTCATTTAAAGTAATCTAGGTAATCCCACTGAAGATCAATCGATAGGCTCACCATCCACAGAGAGCTGCACGGTGCTGACGGCGAGGCCATGTTGGTCCAGGACTTTGTAGATTCCATCATCTGATGGTTGTAACCTCTTCACCGTCAGCTGCTCGAGCAGCAGGTGCTTCTCCAGGCGCTGACTGTTGTCATCGCCCCTCATCCACAGGTCCGACCACTGCGAGTCGTTTCTGTGGAGAATGCAAATGCTGTCAGAACAAAAACGCCACGTCGTCCTCAGAGTTCACAAACATCTGCCTCCCTGTAAGAAGATGAGTCGGAGCAATCTGACACCCCCGCCCTCCCCTCGCATCCTGGCGCAGTGCGTGCTCTGTGCAGCAGCACATCTGTGGGTTGATCCCAAAATGAAATCTGTCTGCTGTGAAAGTTTCTGCACAAATCATTTTCCCCAAACGCCACATTCTGTCTCTGTCAGCACAAATTATAGGATGAGTCAGAGCAGCCAGCAGCCTTCGATTCGAGACAAAACGTCGTTTTATTAAGCTGTAGGCGAGCTTTTACGTCAGCGGGGGAAATAAAGCGCTGAGGGGAGGAAGCGTGAGGGTGGGAGACGATAAAAAAGACAAAACAAATCCACCACCAGCGTCTCCACCTGTGGGCAGGTGAGCAGCTCACCTGGCCTGGAAGACCACTCTGACTGAGTGACGGGTGTAGAGCTGCAGCACCATGTCCTCGCCCGGCTGATGCGACTGAGAGGATTTATGATCTGAAACAAAAGAGCCATCAATAAACAGATGAAATACTCCAGGAACGACATCAGAAGGAGACGATGTCGAGCACTGACCGCTCACGAGCAGCCTGACGCCCTGGATGAAGACCCGAGTTCTTGCGGACCTCTTTCCGTCCAACACCATGAAGCTGTCGTAGCGCCCCGTGTCTCCAAGCTGAACGTCGCTGATGATCAGGGAACAATTCCCCGACCCCAGCTTCTCCTCGGGCACCCTCACCCGGCCCTCAAACTCCGGCGCCTGCCACTTCTCGTTCCCGCGCTGTTCGAACACCGTGTCGGACGGGGTCACCCACTGGACGTGGCAGACGGGCAGAGCCGCCTCACCCAGGTGGGACTTCCAGCTGCAGGGAAGGATCGCCTGGTCCCCCGCCATGTAGGAGATGGACAGCATGGCGGAGGAAAGAGAAGAGGAGTCTGCAGAAAGAAACACGGCAAGAACATCCTCGTGAACACGGACGTTGGATTGACCAGTTCTGACCTCAGAGTGACGCTGATACTCACCAACTAAAGCTCCGGTGTGGAGACACTGTATGAGTATGAACAACCTAAAGAAACACAAGAAAATACGTTATAACGGGGTTAGACGGCGAGCTTATTCATGAGCTCTTTATTCACCTTAAATGGTCATTAGAAACACATTAGAAACACATTAGAAACACATTAGAGAAGTCCACATGCCATGCACTTCCTGTCTTATAACGCCTATAATGTCCTGTGTGTGAGCTGCAGTGACCTGAAACTTAACCCTGACCGGCGTCAGAAACGAAACTCAACTTCCACATGATGGGATCACGTGACCAGGCAAAGTTTCATTTCTACCCACGGACTCGTTTCCTCAGTAACGAAACTGCCATGCGCCGCGATCTCCCTGCAGGTCCGCAGCAGCATCATCATCATCATTAATAATAATAATAATAACAATAATACTAATAATACTAATAATAATAATAATAATCATATTTTTATGGTTATTTCTCCTGCAGAATGCCCTTAAACGCAGTCTGAATTCATCCTTTCATATCTGAATAACAACATGTTTAGATATTACCCTGCATGTCTGCTGAATAAAAATTAAATAAAATAAATAATAAAATAAACAGCAGCAGCTGTTGCTCAGACCGGAAGTGCAGTGTGTCGTACCGGAGCCGCTCGGTGACCGTTGTCATGATGTCCGCTTCGTGGAAACTCTGCTCAGTCTTCTCCGTTCCCCGCGTGCGGTTTCTCCACTCTGTTTACTCTCCGCTCCTCTGACGGCTTATCAACCC